GATTATTGGATTTCAGATTTAATCTGACAGTATAAAATAAATGGTTATTCAGTGGAATGAAACTATTCACTTGGGTTTGTTTTACTATCAAGTGGCGTTTCAATATGGGTTGTTTTTCTTCTCTTTCTCCAAGTGAAGTGTTTGTTCATTACACAGTGTGATGTGTAATGAACAGTCCTTTGTCTCTTTTTTTGTTCTTGTTGTTTTGCAGTATTTTTATAAAAAGGAGATGATTTGCTGCATCCAGTTTCTTGGCAACATAAAAGATTGTGCGTCAGCCAGATCCTTATAACCCATTAAAAACATGAATTCAGTGCAGTCACAGGTTTTAAGAGCCTTTGTTGTCTTGATACACTTCTCTTTCTACAGACCTGGGTATGCTAAAGAAGTGTGAACGTGAAACCTTTTAAGTCATGTCATTTGTGATAAAATGGCACAGAACAGATACTTAACAAAGTGCTATAAGTGACCAAGTCATTTGTTGGTCCCTGAAGAGTTCATTCTGCTAACTCACATTAAAACCTAATGAAATTTTAGCTGCTACAACATCTGGATTAGGTGGGTTTCTAATTAATGGCGGTCTCCATCTTCTTTGTTATTTGTGAGGACAGGCTTGTCTGAGAGGGTGTTTAACATTTCCTCACTACTTGACCTCTCCACAACATTCTTAAGAAGTTGTAGTAGGTCTTTCAGAATAGACAATTTCAGGAGTCCTGAAAAATTCCCGAGAGACATACTGTAAAAAAGCTTGTTAAAGTAATTAAGTCAAATTATACTAATCCAGCATTCTCTAGATGTCTGCAGTTCTTCTGCCAGTATCAGAAGGAAGTTTGACTATTTAAGAAAACAAAACATAACTAGTGGAATGTTTTCTTTCTTTATGTCAGGTACAAGCCCTAGAGGTAAGAAATCTGTATCAGCTGAAGGTTGATTCGCTAAGTAGAGATCAGCTGGACACAAATAAGTAGAGCCAACAGTTATAAAAAATTACTGATCCCTGAACAAGCATGAGTTTCTGAGGCCTCACCCTAATCAGGATACTTTAGTAAAGAGACTTAGCAATTTTTGGACAGAAGCTTGATTTGCTTTTAGAAAGGTAAAAATGGGTTTTGAAATATAACAATAAATATGATTTCTTCCAATTGTCTGTGCTTTTAATATCCCTCTGCTGCAGCTGCAAGACTGGATTTCCCATCTCCAAGTTAAAACGGACTGTCTTCCTTCACGAAGAAAGGCCTACACCCAGACCTGGGCAAAACAGTCTGAGATGCACAGTTAAATATTTCTGATATTAGAGAGCAAAAGCGCACCTTAACAATTCCTTCCAGCAGTAACTTAGGAGTTACTCCAGGACACACATATGCTATGACTGTTGGATACTCCAGTGTGTCTGTTACAAGAGTCATGCTCTCATCACCTCAAGAAAGCATAGCAGAATTTTTCAGGTTTTGCATAAAAATGGGTCACTAGCATTTATTCGGGGGGGGGGGGATAGAAATATTATTAAAATGTGTGGAACTGTGAGCCAACTTTTACAGCATGTGTGCCAAGAGTTGAAAACATTTCTTTGTGGTGCTCTGCTCATGAAATTGTGGCGGTTTCAGTTAATTAATTGAAACCCACTGAAGTTTTCTGGAAGCAAAGTGAACAAGGGTATTAATAGGTATTTCTTTGACTATCTGCATGTCAATACTGGTTTGGCTTCTTTCAGGAGGAATAAAAATGTATCTTATGTTATCATTTTTATGCAAGAACACAACTGATAATTGAACATAATTGATAATTTTTCAATTATCACTCATAAGCATTAAAGGCATTGTGAGTTATATTATGAGTAGTGTCTGGGAAGACTGATAAGCTGAAAGAATTGACCTATTTTTGTATAAATAGCAGCAGTACTTGGGTGGTTTCAAATTTGTTCATATGGACTTGAAATATGATTTATATGAGTTACAAAACACACAACAAAAGGAGATTTTTGCAGTGGCTGTGTGCCTGTCTTATAGGACACATGGACATTTTCTTGCTGGAGGGTACACAAGAAATTTTTACAGCCTCTTCCTTTTCTCCCTCTGTTTCTTGCTCCTCTATTAATAACTGAGGAGTCTTCAGTACAGGCTGATCAAACATTTCTGCCTCCCACCTTGTCTTCCCTCTTCTAACAGTGATCTCTGTCTTTTACAGTTTTATGCCCCTTTCCCAAATAGAGTTGGCCTCTTGCTTTTTTACTTGCAAAACAGGGGCCTCTTTTCTATGAGTAAGAGTATTAAAAATACATATAGAATAAAAGACCTCCCAATTGTTAAGGAAACTGAGAAGTGCTTTGCTGTGAATTGTGAGAATTCATACATTCTGGGACTTCAGTCCTACTACCTGGTATTGTCATAATTTTGATTTTGGATGTCACTGGTCTCTGAGTTATGCTGGCAGAGTATTAAGGTGAAGGGGAGGATTTCTGGATGTATACCAGTACTCCAGGGTTAGTGGGGCTGAACTGTACTACTCACTGCAAAGATTTGCTTTCTTCCGTCTCAGAACACATTCTTACGTTAATACCTGATTAGCTCTGCACCAAACAATTACTCATTGCCCAAAGAAGATTGTAAGACTTGCTTCCTATTTCTTGGACATTGAAGTGATTTTTTGACTGCAGAGAACTCCCACAACTTAAAAGAGGAGCAAGAGTGTGCAGTTGTGGGAAGGTCTGCAAGGACAGAAATAGTGTGGGCTTGTACAGCAGGGCAGAATTTGAGGGTGTGTGGAGGGACAGATGTTATGTGCTATATAATTAATCCATTTAAATAGCTGACTTTGAGGAAAAAACAAACCCGAGTTGCTTAAGTCCAGGTTTAAATTCGTGCACGAGCTTTTAAATGGGGCTGTGTTTTCTTAATACTATCATGAATGAGCTTCTGCAGAATTGGAACCTAAGCATGTATACCATTGAGCTTTTTCATGTGCAGATTATTGACTAATCCAAAAAAATCTGATCCAGAAGAAAGGTAAATCTTGGCTCTGCCACAGGCTCTGCTGTGACCTAAGGGCAGTCATTTTATCTCCTCGGCTTTTGTCCCCTCTCTGTAAAATGGTGATAAGAGCATTTTCTTATCTTACAATGAAGTAGTGGTGATAAATGTTGAGGATTATGACATGGTTAAATACTGTGGTAATCGAGGCCATTAAGCACCTTAAACACTTCTATTCATTGGCTGCTTTTCTAAAGTGAATTACTGAGCATTTTTAATTTTTTTCCAAGTAAACTCAAGGAAATGAGTTTATAAGATTTTAATAAATAAAACCTGTAAAATGTCAACATTAAAATGTGTTGTGTTTTCTGAATTATGTAACTGGATGTTTTGTATCTTTCTCTTAAGTCAGCCTACCTGCTTTTCTTCACTGCTCCCTTCAATGGATGTAAACCTGACAACAGGAAGAAAAGGCAAAGTTGCTATCTGCTATTAATGGACTGTGGCTACGAAATTCAGGAATTTCCACATTTGTCATTTTGGGTCCTAATTTTAGAAATCAAAAAAGTTAGGGGACTGAAATTTATAAGGCATCCGTGACTAGTAAATTGAAATGAATTTTGGGGAATTTTTAGGGTACCCATCAAGGGAAATTAAACACATTTGTGCTTGTATATAAAGAAAAAAATAATGAAAAATACATTGGGCAGAGTCCTACTGCCATAATTCTACAAGGAGTCTGCAAAGATGCATCAGGATGTACATATCATTTGTGTACATTTGCAGTAGCACCCATCCCAAGAGCAGCTGCCTGGGTCACTTCTGCCTGGCTGTGGGTCCATCCCCAGCCTGTCTCTGCTGCACAGAGGTAGCCACTGAGCTTCCGTCCCAGAGCACTCAAATTCCAAGATGTCTACAAGGCAACATTGCAGCTGTTCTTTATCTCAGCACTCAGGGAAAATTTCCTTCTCTGCAGGGAATCTTTCTGTCTCTTGACATCCTGCTTCCAGCCAGTTTGACACCTTCTTGCACTTGGACCTTCTTGCCTTCTGTGCCTCAGTCACAAATTACCACTGTGCAACAGTTGCAATTAGAATTTCCCCTGCACAAACAGCCACTTATCTCAGTCATGTTTCAGTAAATGGATTTGAAATAGTCGCCTAGTAGAACAGAAGAGAAAAGGAAAAAGGAAAGGAAGAAGAAAATAAGTTCTCCAGGTTTCTGGCTGCCTTTTTCTGGGAAGCTGCTTGGAGCAGTGCCTCAAGATGAGGCACAGGAACATGCCACACAGATGTGGTCAGGTCTTCACTGACTGTATGAGCAGCATAAATTTTGCTCACATTAGTGGTAACAGCTGTACCTCACATCGTCCCTTGTCATTGTGTGACTGTGGTAGGATCTGTTGAGCTGGAAGTCTAATTTCCAGTATCTGCTGCTGCTGTTTCCATGAGATGGTGGAGACACCACCTACAGGATACGATGTGTTCACAATTCAGATCTCTTTTTGCAGATTTTGTATGCTTGTTTTCTTTCTCAAAAGAACAAAACACAGAAACTGAAGTGTTAACAGGATTGGATTCATTATTGATATATCTCAAGGCTGAGTTGGACGAGGCTTTGAGCAATCTGGTCTAGTGGAAGGTATCCCTGCCCATGGCAAGGGATTAGAATGAGATGAGCTTTAACGTCCCTTTCAGCCCAAACAATTCTGTGATTCTGTGATTCTGTGATCTGTAATGTTCAGGTCAATGTTGATTTATGTTGGTCTAGAGCTGTATTTTAGAATCACAGAATATGCTGAGTTGAAAGGGACCCACTAGAGTCATTGAGTTCAGCTCCTGGCCCTGCACAGGACCATCCCAAAGAGTCACACCCTGTGCCTGAGTGTATCATGCAAACACTTCTTGAACTCTGTCAGCCTTGGTGCTGTGACCAGTGCCCTGGGGAACTTGTTCAAGCACACAACCACCCTCTCGGTGAAGAACCATCTAGTCTATTCCTCCTGCAATGAGAAGGAACACACCTTTTAGTAGACCAGGCTACTCAAAGCCCTCTACAGCCTGGACTTGAACACTTGCAGGGATGAAGTGTCCATCACCTCCCTGGGCAACCTGTACCAGTGTTTTACTACCCTCACTGTAAAATACATCATCCTTATATCTAATCTGAATTGACCCTCTTTTAGTTTAGAACCATTACCTCTAAGCAAACAGTTATAAATCAATATTGCTGTTTCTGTCATTGATGAGGACTGTGATGTGAGATTTCCCTTGCAGTCTGGCAAAGAGGGAACAAAAATTAGTAAATATGCTTACTTTCAGGAGGTGAGGTCAGTGACAACTTTGGTGAGATTGCTCTGAGCTGTGTTGTTGAAACAGTCCTGGAAGCTGATGCAGACACTGACATGCGCAGTAACTGTGGAGATATACCAAAAAAGTGGATAGCTGAGGTTCCAGCTAATCCTTTTAGCCAGACATAAACTGTGAAAACAGAGACCAGAACTGCTCCCTGCAGTTTATATCTAAAACTGAAATTTCAGACTCAAGCCAGTTTTTTCAAAAGCAGCTTTGCTAGAGTGGGGAAGCCAGGTAATGTACAGGAGCCCCCACTGGTTGGTTGGAGGGTCAAGATTTCTGAGTAGACTTCTAAAGCTTTTACTCATAAGAAGCAGCTCTTAGGAGGGGTGAGTGGCAGGAGGCAAGTTTTCTACCGGGACACAGAGGGCTCTTCTGGATTATCAGAAAGTGCACGTTCCCCAGCCTGGGCTTGCAGCTGCAGGAGGGAAGCATTTTGGCTTTAACTTCCTTTTTCCTCTGTAATAATCCTTTACCACTGTGCACAGATTTTAGCTGTCACTGCTGCTGGTTCCTGCCCCTCATCCTGGCACTGCCATCGATCATCACTACTGTTGACACTCACATGCCCTTTGATGAAGTGGCTGTCACAGCCTCCCTCTGCACAGACCTGCTCCTATCTGAGACGTTCATTACTGTCATTTGCCAAAAAGGTTTATGTAACAGATGTTGCAAAGCAAAGGCACAGAAGCACACACACACACTCATACCCCATTATGGCGGGGGCTGTCAGAGTGACGGTGAAGGGAGGATGGTCCACAGGACTGGAGTAGCTCAGAGGCACAGCTGCATCTGTTCAAAAAGCAACTAACGCCTCTCTGTGATTATGCTTTATTTTCAGCTTGTCATCATGGCTGGGACTGTTCTGCTCGCCTACTACTTTGAGTACACCGACACTTTTCAGGTGCATATCCAAGGTTTCTTTTGTCAGGATGGCAGTTTGATGAAACCCTACCCTGGGACAGAAGATGAGAGCTTCATTTCACCTCTTGTGCTATACTGTGTGCTGGCTTCAACTCCGACAGCTATTGTGAGTATAAGGAATTATTTGAATTCTCCATGAACCCTTTCATAAATAATAGCAATAGTCCTGTGATATCTTTGCCCCCTGTCCTCTCTGTTGAGCTGTAATTAATTCACACTTAGCCAGATCTCTGTTTTGCCTCAGCCTAATATGATCTTCATCAGTTATCTCCAGAAGTAATTATTCTGAGCTAATCACAATGCAAGAGTGAGGGGTAGAGCTTGTTAAGCCTTGTACAATAGCTTGCTTCAGTGCTTAGTTGTGAATTGCCAGGGCTCCAGAGAGGCTCTAATGCAAAGTTTACGTATCACTGGAAATAAGAAAACATAAAGCTGAAGTAAAACTCGGGTCAGACATGCAGTATATCCAGGATTATTTCCTGCTATATTAAAAGGACTGTTGAAGGGCTTTGAAAGGCTTGGATGAGCAGAAAGATGCTAAATACATGAATGCTATTTCCTTTTTATTTATAATCTCTCTATTTTTAGCAGTCACATCCACTAAAATTTTTTTTTACCTGGTTTTCTTTACTACCCAGCCAGTAAGCTGCAATGTAGCCATTCTGTGCAGATGAAAATACTCAATTAGCTGAGTACATACAATTCCAAACAGATTATTGCAGTCAAGTGGTTAGCAAAACTTTGGCCCTCTTCTATTTTCTGTGCAGGTTGCAAATTTCACCAATTTTTTTTGCTGCATTTGTAAAGAAACTCATAAATTCCTATCAGACTCTCTCTTTATGAACTTTGTTTTATTTCTTTCCTTTTATTTCTTTCCTTTTAGTATTTCTTCTTGATATTATTTTGCTTTTCATCCCCTTCAAAAGTTGATTGAAACTGTACATGGCATATTTGCTTATGAATAGTGAGTGCTTCACCACAGTCCATTTTAAGTTTTGTTCTGTAGTAATTTTAGTGCGTGAAACCATATTCTTTTCACATATTGTGGTAAGAAGCGTGAAAGGGAACTGCAGAAGAGCCTATAGTTTTTAGTACAGGACACTTTCTGAAAGCAAGTAGGAGTTTTGAAATGGATTACATCAAGAGTTTATGAAAATCCTCGTTTTTTACTTTGATTTTACTTTGGGCTGCAGTGATATATGATTTGCAAATGAAAAAAATAAATACTACATTTCTCCAACTCTCCCATAAATATAGTGCCATTGTTTAGGGACGTAGCTTTCACAGGCATTTTCTGTAAGGGTAGATGGTGTGTCACTATCACACCTTCATTCTGTAACAATGATATTAGTTTGTCCCTTGATTAACTGGCATTGGGTAATGAGTGTTGTTCTTTATTTGGATCTTCTGTTTAAATCCTTTCTCTGGCCAAGTTTCATGCCAGCCCTTATGGTTTTGCTCTACTGGATAAGCATTTTCTTTCTTTTTAGTGACTCAAGAAGTTTTTCCTAATTACTCTTCTTTATGAAAAGCTGAGTTGGAGTCTTCACTTGGCAGTACTGAGTTAACAGTTGGACTTGATGGTCTTGAAGACCTTTTCCAACCTAAACAGTTCTATGATTCTATCAAGAGTACTGTTTTTGTAGTTTCCATAGCCCATATTAAACACAAAAAATGTAGTGAACATCAAATAAACTTTGTGGGTGCTGAAGAGACCTTCAGCTTAGTGCTGTGTGGAGATGGACTGTGTGAACTGTCTCCTAAAATGTAAACTGTCCAGAAACGCTATCCTGGTTCCATAAGTGTAGTTATCACCCTGGATGGTTGGATCCAATACTGGGTATAGGCTGGTAAGCTCTGCTTCTTGGGTTGTGCTGTGCTGTTGCACTGGTACTGCTTCAGCTAGAGAGGACGTGGTCAGGGTCAGCACACGGCTCTTGGCACTGTGCTTTGTGGTGATCTCTGCATACAGCCTCAAGGAGATAGCAGATCAAAATTTCCTGGGAAAACATTTTTTATTTCCATTTTTGATGTAATATGTATTAATACATTATTCAATCAATTTTTTGCATTATTTGTATCATTGTATTTTATTATTAATACATAGTATAATTATTTAATGTCTTATTACTTTTGGGCTAATCTTCAACCAGAGCATATGTCAGAGGGATGTTTTTCTGTCCTCCTGACTGGTGCTTATGAGAATGTTTTAATAGAAGTAACTTCACTTTATTCCTTATTCCCATCTTCTTCTGAGAGACATTGCTCTTCTTGTGGGGTGATTTCAGACCTCTGCTTCAGCTTGTAGCTGACTCTGCAGACTGAGTATTGGCAATGATCATTAATAAAAAGCTTATAAATGAGACAGAAGGTGAGCTCAGATTCTCCCTAAACTCTGTCCTTTTATTACCCTGCTGGTTAGTCCATTCAGAGTGTGAGTATCCTCAGCTGTCTTTCTATACCCAGATGGGTGCTACCTGTCATTCAGGCTGCCCACAGTCTGGGGAGAGATGTTTGATCCAGTTGAGTCTCCCAGGGATTTCAGTGAAAGGAGCAAATGCAGCCATTTCTACTTACACTGTGAGAATTACACTCTCTCAAAAAAAACTTCCAAAAAAACTCCACACAAACAAAAGAACCCACACAGCTGTGCTTCATGGGAGGGGAGCCTTGTGTACATTTACTGTGGATTAAATTGTAGCTTCCCTCCCTACATTCTGCAGGTCCACCATGGGAACATGATTTAAGTCAAAGGCAATGCCAGTTCCTCCTTAAAATTACTTGTTTCTCCTCTGCACAACACTTTTTGCTTCATTTTCTGATGGCAAACCAGTTGATTTGGCTGGGAGGATTTGCAGTAGCAAACCTGATCTCTCTGTGTTGCCTTCATGTTACCACTGTCCTGACATCTCATGATTCCAACAGTTTACTGAAATGGGTGGAACCAGCAGCAAGGAGGTACTAGCTCATGGTACCAGCTAAAACTGGAGAAGATATCCTAGTAGTCTGTACAAGCTCCCTCATCTGAGGCACAAGCAGTGTTTAAGTGCAGTCCTGTGTGCATAGCTCTAGGGAGAACTCAAGCCATGATTTTCAGCATAGCTGTGAGGTGTTATAATGCTTGCAAGCCAAAAGGGAACATCTTTGTGAACTTAATGGAATATCTCTGTGTCTCTGTCATTTGGCTGTGACAGTGTGCATGAGGAAAATGATTGCATGTGTTTTATTTCTGACAGCACTTTTCAGAAGTGCTGCTGTAGGTTGGTACCACTGTATGTGCATTTCCCTGCACTTCTAGTGGCAAAATAAATGAGACTGGCCTGGTTTTGTGCAGTTTTATTCATTGTTTTTGAAACACTGCCCTAAAAATATTCTGGGATGGCTCTACCACATTCATTAGTGTCCCTCAAGACTAGTTTTCTCTGCTAAGAGGTTACTGTACAGCAGCCAATTCCCCAGTTGGTACTAAGCAATCCTTACAGAGTTCAGCACTGTGCCTACTGTGTTCTATCCAGTGTGATTTGTCTGCCCACCCGAGAGAAGCAGAGAGGCTTGGGAACAGAACCATCTCACTGAAATGAACACTGAACAGCAGCAGGAAGCTTCAAGGGCACTGTTCTTTGTTACCTGAAAGTGGAATAGTAAGTGCCACTACTGTTTTCATGCAATCTTCAGTTTCTTTCCTTTGGTTGGAAGCGGCAGCCTACATGTAATCATTAACCAACCAGTGCTATTAATTTGTGCAAAGGATTATTTGTTTTCAGATAATGCTGAACCAGTCTGATTATTAATTAGAAGCTGAATTACAGTGATGATCTGAAGCAGGAGGAAATTGTTCAAACTTCCCTTTTTACAATCTGCACATACTTTTAAAGCTTTGAAAATATCATTCTACTAGATGGTTTTCCTATTCTGTCTTGTTTCCTTGGCTTTGGTTTACTATAGCCATGTTACTACAGTGATTTATTTCTGTAAGGGAAGCCAGGGAATTGCTGCCTGTCTTGGCTGATTCCCCTGTAGCTGCTCTGCAGCAGATGCCAGGAAAACCAAGAGTGTCTGACACAGCTCAGAGCACTGTTACAGCAGCTTCTTCCAAGCTCTTTCAGGCAGGAATCTTAGGTTCTGCTGGTGGTGGTG